GGGAAAAGTGAAGGAAAGCTCTAGAAAGTTCTGTTGTACCACTGAGCCAGCAACCCCACACATCTTTACTGGACAAGACCCCTTGCTATGTTCAGCATTGGGACAGAGGCAAGCTGAGTACCAGTTAAATGTAGTGCAGGTCTTGCATCCAATTAGCTCTGGATACATACTAATTGGTTGCATTACAAATATGGACAAGCCTTGGCAGCCTGTTTTCTTCTCTATAAAATAGAGATGGTAATATGCACCTCCTGTAGTTCAAGTGGATATTATATAAAGAGACCATCATGAATTGCTTTACATAGTGAGTGTATGTGGTAACTGCAAATCTAATAGACTTTAATGGGAGAAAAAATACCACCTTGAAAGATTCTGTAATAACTCCCATAAGGAGTCAACACTCTCAGAGGGAATAATGGAGTCACGTGACACGCAATAGGCTGTCTACTTAAGATAAAGAGGGAAGTGACAGGACCATAGGAATAGGGACCCAGCCCTGCGGGCTCTGAGAACTAGGGAAGCTGCCATCTCTTCTGAGAGTGGAGATGAGTGGACACTGGTCATACTGGGAAATGCTAGGGGAAGATGAAAGACACACCTATAACTTTGAGCCGTCCAGCTATACACAAGGGTACTTTGCTGCTCTGGACCCCTTCCATTCAACAGCTATGTGTGACTAACTGCGTGCTTTGGAGACAACAGGGAGAAGTCAAAGGCTACCATTGTGAGATCTTTAATTTTGGGAGACCCATGGTCATGTAGAAGCAGGTACGCAGACATGGCATTATCGGTGGGTCTGGTCTGACTGGAATACAGAAGGACGAGGGTTTGAGTTTGCCCACTTGGACAGTATGCAGAAAAGGGTTCATAGACAAGCATGCACTCAGGCAGACTGAGAGTTCTTCCAGCTAGTGTTGCTCGGAGGCCTGGGGGCTTGGGCCACAGCCTTTCAAACACACAGAGGGAGCCCTTTCTCCGACCTGTTCAGAAAGCACCGGCATGGAAACTTGTCAGAAGGTGTCTGAGTGTAGCCACCCAGCTGTTTCGTAGCTGACCACTTGATGACCCGTCCCAGGTGCCTTTGCGGGTTATTTTTCCAGCCTGGTGTTTTTCTCCATATAGACTCGGTCTATGCCTGGGGAAGAACACGCTGTGTAAAGCAGTTCTTCTGTGCCTCGCCCTCCACATGTGCAAACCAGCAACCACAGATAGATCCCAGATGCCGTCTCCCCGCTCTCGACATCCTTGAAGTGGGCCCTGCCTGCCGGCACACCTGCCAAAGAAAATGCTGCCCTCGAAATGCTCCTGGCGTGGTTCTCCAGAGGTGCCAACCAAGGAGGCTGGAATTGCTGACTTTCCTGAAAGAGAAGCCGGCAGCTGTGGTCACCAGGGTGAAGTCCCTCTGCCTGAAGATCCAATGCAATTAAACGCACTTTGTCCACATCACAGAGAGTCCACCCCACCTGTCATTCATAGCCCAGGAAGTACTGACTTCTAGGAGGGACGTTCCCCAGAACGGAAGTGACTCAGTCTGACCCCAGACCCCTCCCAGAGCACAAGTATACAAAGTGAGATGCAAAGAGGCATTTGGAGGTCACATGCTCCAGCCCTCTTGACTGGAGGACAGATGTGAATCACCTAGTCATCCAGCAGAAGGTCATGGTAGGAGCTGACCCCTGCTCCTGCCCCTCTTGATGAAATATCATGTCCGCACACCAGATTTCTAGACTTGCCTAGCATCTTCTAAGACTTCCTACAATATAGAAAATGGGGCTGAAGGATCAGGGTCCAGGAGGGAGTTAAAGGTGTGAGTTCTTCCCTGGGAGCACTTGCTCCCATAGGAAACATGTTTAGTGATGGGGAGGATATAGTTCATTTGGGAGAGTGCTTGAAGCCCCTTTGGGAAGCCCTCGTTTGACCCCAAGCACCACATGAACCAGGAGTGGAGGTAAACTTCTGTGTTGACAGCACACAAGAAGTAGAGGCAGGGGGAAGTTCAAGGTCATTGTCTGTTTCATGGAGAGCGGGAGGTGACCTTGGGGTAGAGATCTTGTTTCAAAGCAAACACAGGTCCACCTACCTACCTGCACACCACCACCACCACCATCCACCATCCACCATCCACCATCCACCAACACCAATAACTACGACAAACAAGTCTGAATAGCAAGTTTTCCCTGAGCTTCTCCTGAATGATCCCAAATCTTTTAAAGATCATCTCCTCAGCATAGATTAGAGTTCTTTTTATTCTTTTTAAGATTTATTTATTTTAATTTTTATTATATGTGCATCAATGTTTTGCTTACACGTATGTCCATGCGAGGATTCGATTCCAAACCCCCTGGAATTGGGGTTATAGACAATTGTGAGCTGTCATGTGGGTGCTGAGGGGAATCAAACCCTGGTTCTCTGGAAGAGCAGCCAGTGCTCTTAACCACTGAGCTATCTCTCCAGCCCCTGATTAGAGTGTCTAATATTGAGACAGGCTATTGTTGGGCTTCAGTGCACAGCAAACAGATGAAGGTCTGAGCAGGAGCCCGGTAGCAGCAGCAGCAGCTTATAGAAGTGCCTGCGTAGATGTGAATCTGTTGTTTCATAGGACCTTCTGAATTCCTGGCTGGTGTACTCTAGGCACGCTCCACAGACCACATCAGTCTAAGAATGAGTCTGTGGGCTCTTTCTCCTTCTGGGTTGGAAGTCCACCCACAAATGCCCGCAGTAGATCAACCACGAGTTAAGAAAAAGTCAGGGCTAGTGTTTGAGGTATGTCTAGGGTATGTTTCTCATCCATCACTGTCAGGATCATATACAATTTCTCTACCTTAAAGTGTTATGAGGTGTCACTAAACGGAAGCTGCAAGGAAAGAAGTTTCGCTTGCAGCTCAGTCTTGTAAGGATTTTTAAAGAAGCATATTAATTAATTAATTAATTAATAACTAATAATTGGTAACCCATTTAGATTTTGAAATAATGGTCACTACATTTGGTACAATATGAACTTCATCTGGTCCTGGAAAATGATCTGGAAATACAAGCTTAAACTATGGGCACTCCACAGAAAGCTTGCTATAATCCCCTCTACTACGATTTTGGTTAAAAAAATAATTGCTATATCAAGTATCCATCAAGAGAGAATATGAGACTCAGGCATGGCACACACCAGTAATCCCAGCACTCAGGAGGTGAAGGCAGGAGGATCCTGAGTTCCAGGCTAGTCTGGACTTCCTCTAAAACACCTGTGTTAAGAAGAAACATGAAGAGCAGAGCAACAGAGATGTTCTGTGGGGTCTCTGGGGACAGGGAGGCCGACGGGAGGGAGAACTTTCCATTTAATGGCATTTCAGTTACCAGAATAATACTCTGAATTATGAATGTGCCAATGTTTTCAATTATACTGATTTGATGCACATATAAATATATATATATATATATATATTCAGTAAGATTCTTTTATTTGAGGATTGTGTTTTCTATCATTGTGCAAATTAAGTGGAGGTGCTAAACATCCATTTTTATTTTAAGCTTTTTTTATATACCCAGCACTTTATTAAGCATTTTGCCTATGATATAAATCTTAGAGCTTTCTCCTGCTCTTTGCAGATGGCTCAATAGGTAAAATGCTTATACGCATGAGGGCCCGAGTTCAAACCCCAAGAACCCTCACAAAATCGGCAAACAGGTGGGGTGTGGGGTGAGATGGCTCAGAGGATAGAAGCACCTGTCTGAAAGCCTGACAACCCCAGTTTCATCTCTGGAACTTGCGTTGGAGAAAACTGATTCCAGAAAGTTCTCCTCTGACCTCCACAGGCACAGTGCACTACACATGTGTCCATACCCCCACACACATCATAAGCACACATTACAAAATAATGCTATATAAAATTAGAAGTTGAAAAGTCCAGGTGTGGTAATGCATGTCTAAAATACCGCTGCTCCTGTGCTGATGGGAGGCGGACACAGGAGGATGGCAGAAAGTTCGTGGGACGGAGATTCCAGCATAGGCCATAGTAGACATCAACTGAGCCTGCTTCCAACGTGGTAGAAGTGGGGGACCAACACCTGAGATTATCTCTGACCTGCATACATGCCATAGTACCCATGCATCCTTAGTCACACAATGCATGCGCGCGCGCGCGCACACACACACACACACACACACACAGAGAGAGAGAGAGAGAGAGAGAGAGAGAGAGAGAGATTTTGGAAAGCTCTTTCCTGAAGTCCTGTTGCTTTGTGGTTGCTGTGGAAGAGTAAATGTCCTTATCCAGGCTTTGCAGCCAGCTCTCAGCCTGGGATTCCTACTCAGATCCTAGGAATTTGAATCTTATATCCTGCAATGTCGTCATCTTATGAAGTATGTCAGGAAGTAAGAACCCTCAAAGACTTCATTCTGCCCTTGGCAGTTGTCTGGGTGGACCTGAGCCACTAGATACTCAAAATCTGAGTGTTTGGGCTGGCCATTAGCAGAAGTCTGAATATTATAAGTTTTAAAAGTCATCTTTGGGTATGGAGGTTCATTCATTCATAGGGAACACCTGTGTCTACTGGGAATATCTCTATTTCCTGGTGATGCAGCCCCTTTGAAGGATGAACTTCGATTTTCCAAATTTCACTTCAGCCCATTCCAAATTCATGGCAGTCTGTCTCACTTCCTATTTGTCCATCAGGTGACACGGACCTGATGGCCTGTTTGACGCTGAGGTGAAGTTATTGATTTGGAGATCTGGACACACTTTTGCTAAACGTTCCTTGTCTTGTTAGAAAGGCCCAGGGTTATCCAATTTAACTGCCTCCATCTGCTTAGAAAATTCATGGTTAGACTATGGAATCTACATAACTGGAAGGAAATTATATGTATGTATGTATGTATGTATGCGTATTCGCCCAGTTGTGTGCATCTGTGTATGTGTCTCACAGGCTTGAAGCTTTTAAAAGTAAAATTATTTCCATCCCACTATACAAAAATGCTTTTGAGTGGTCGTCATTTTATTTGGGCCATGGTCTTTGGAGACTTGGGACAATAATATACTTCTTTTTATCATATGCAGATATATGCAGATTTTAAAGCATTCATGCATGTATTACACACTTTATAAATCCGAGTAATAGAAATGTTTGTGTGTATAAATAGGTAGAAGAGGGAGTATACATTCTGTGTAAAATAATCTCTATGGTATTTGTTTACCCTGATTTTTTTGATTTATGAGTCGTCATCGCTCACTATAGAAGAAAGGAAATAAATATGCAAAACACCGCTGGACCTTTAATGGGGTGCTTTCCCACCTTAGCTCAGTGTCTCTCTACTGAAGCTGACCTTGAAACTGCTTTTAAAATACAAGTCAAAATATGCAAATTCCAGGATATCTGGATGAGAACCCCATGTTGGGAGTTTTTCAAATTCACCTTGTTGCGTCATTTTTACCCCATGTCCCATCTTTCCCATGCTCTCAAATCCATCTGTCTTTAACTGGTAGGAATGTGGTGGTGCCACATTGCTTGCCTTGGAGTGCCAATCCTCCCACCCATGAGGTTTTTGTTGTTGTTCAATAACTTTGTTCAATGACTTATAGAATCATCAATACACACCCTCCCATGCAGGGTGCCTCCATTCAAATCCTAGAATCATCAGTACCCACCATGCAGGGTGCCTCTATTCAAATCCTAGAATCATCAGTACCCCCCCATTCAGGGTGCCTCCATTCAAATTCTAGAATTATCAGTACCCCTCATACAGGGTGACTCCATTCAAACCCTAGAATCATCAGTACCTCCCCCCAATGCAGGGTGCCTCCATTCAAACCCTTTTAAAGTTACAGTTTCCAATTAGCTTATAAGATTTCTAGCTTTCAATGTGGCTTCTTCCTATCTCCTTAATTTTGGGTTACCCTGAGCTCATTCTCTTTTCCCCAACTTCCCACGACCATCTCTGGGTATCCCCCTCCCTGTTTTCAGATGACATAGGGTACTGCCCTCGTTTAAGAGCCTCTTCTTCCTCCTCTCCATTGTCTCTTTCCCCCTCCCAAGTTCGCACATGCATTCCAAGTTCAATAGACAAGTCTGCAATGATTCATCGGTGTTCAGGGAGAACATGCAATGTTTGTCTTTCTGGGCCTATCACCTACTCAGTATACTATATTCTGGCTCCATCTATTTCCCTGCAAATTCCATAACTTTGTTTTCCCTTGCATGTGAATAAAACTCTGTTGTGTAAATGTATCACATACTCGGTATCTATTCATCATAGGATAGACATCTAGGTCAATTCTTTAAAGAAACTTTTTAGCGATCACAAAACACTTCTTGCCCAGTCTCTGATTTCTTCCCATTCCCTCTGCATGCCACGCATGTCACCATGGCTGTGTGTCATTGTTGTATGCCTTTTGTCTCTTCTCTCAGAATCTTTGGTGAGGAGCTGATGCCCGTGTCACACGTGGCTCTCTTCTAGCAAGTCACATGACACACACATTTGTAGTCTGTCTTTGTGTTGGTGCTGTCCATTTCCCTGGACCCCAAAGAAGCCGCTTCTGTCCCCTGCTTGTATTTCATAAGGGTCTTCTGGAGCCCACATGGCATGGGTGCATATATCTCACCTGTCTTATGACCAGAAAGACTCACGACCATGAATTTCCCTGGTTTATGATTGGTCCCTGGCTGCCTCTGCCATCACATTTGGCAGAGAATCTTCTTTTGCAGTTACACGAACAAACAGATATTCTGCGCTGATGCATGAATGAATAGGAAATACACCGGTTCCAAAGGATAAATCTCTCACGTGCTAGAGAGCGACTTCAGGAAGAGCACTGAGTTGCTGCTGGAAGATGGAGCCCACGCTGTAATTAATGCCACTCACAGCCAAAGGACATCAGGGATGGTGTAGGTGTTGATTATTTTATTTTGTTTATTCAAGTTTCTCCACTTTGGAAACTCTGTGACCATTGCCACAGAAAGCCCTGGAGATGGAGTGGAGCATTAGCTGCTGCCTCATGCAAGGGCATCGTAACTCCTCCAGTCTCTCTCTCTCTCTCTCTCTCTCTCTGTTTCTCCCTCTCTCTCATCATAGAGTATGAAAACATTATTGGATTCAGGAGTTCACAGGAGTCCTCAATGTAGCTGGGGACTGGGGGATAGATTTATGAAATGGACCATTTCAAATGGCATTATCTTCCCACAGTGAGGTACACCTTTCATAAATCATGGGCGAGGGCCCAGCAACCCAGCATTTGTTATTCCTGCCATGGCATGTATTAGCAATCCCCAGCATTGCAGAGGAGGAGAATGGCTCAGGTTGCCTTCCCTAGGTTTGAAAAGGCAATTAATCCCCTTGTGAAACTGCAGAAGAAGAAATATTATAACCAAATAGGAGAGTACTTCATAGAAGCCAAGGACTTGGTTTTTACTGCTGGGTTCTGTTTCTTAATCTTGGTTTTCTTTTTGCTTATTTGGGCGTTAATTAGTTATGGCATTATGGCACAAGTTTAATGTTGTTTTTTTGGTTTAGGGTGTTTTTTATTTTTTTGGCTAATTTTCACCATAATCCTTGGGCTGTATTAAGATAGAACAGGTGAGTGCTGAAGATCTGGAAAGCAAGTGGTTAGTTGGAGTGCTACCTGAGGTGGCCTTTCCTCTGTCACCCAGTTGAGAGCTGCCCTGTAACAACCCGCATCCTTCATGGTTGCATTTGTAACACGGGGCTTCCTTCCTTTCTGGTAGCCGGATCTGATTTGCATGGAGAGGCAAAGTGGAGCCTTCTTTGTGTGCCCTTGACATCACTAAAGTACCCGATGGTAGTCGGTTTCTATAAAGGACTCCTTTCCTAAGTCACTCCAGTTGTTCCCAGCTCTGCCAGCCCAGGATGAAGAATTTCCCTTTGGTCGGAAAGAATGCGGGGCCTCAGATCTGTCTGATTAAGATCGTGGTCCATTCTCTAGGCTCCTTTCATATTCTGGAGGACAGCCAGAGGATAATGGTCAATTTTCCCAAATAACAATAGCAATAAAGAAGAAAAACTAGCATCTCTCCTTCCCCCCTCCCCTCATCTTTCTATCTTTGAATTAAGAAAGAATTAGTTAACAGGATGCCAAAATATATTAGACACTTGGGGAAAACACTTCACTACTTATTTTGAGACAAGAACTCACTCTGTATCCAAATCTAGCCACAAACAGAGCAGTCCTCCTGCCTCAGCTTCATAGTGCTGGGATTTCAGGCATAAGCACTCTGCACAGCTAAAACGGTATGTTTTAAAGAGAACTCCTCCATCTCAGATAGTTGGAAACACTTTTTTTTTCTTGCATTTATGACAGGAGAAGATTAAAAAAGAGGACTGCTTACAATGACTTCAGATTTGGTTAATTGAACTTAATGGTCACTTTAAAGCATAAATGGAAAAACCTGTCATTGAGTTTTCAGAGGCGTCACTGTGCAGGTGCATGAGATCTAGACAGTGAGAGATCTGTTCACACACTCCATTCTCTCTACTTGCCTGAAAGGGATCAATTCCAGAGTGGGTGGCTGAGGCGCCAGGTCAAGAAGGACTCTTGGAAGATGTTCTCTGCTGCCTTTTTTCTGCCTGTCCATTTGCTCCTCTCACCCAGGGACATGAGATGTCCATTTGCACTTGTGTATTAGCAGAGTCTTCCAGGTTCGCTTCAGACCAACTTCACTGTGAATTCTTACATTTCCTTACTCTTTTTAATTCTATTTCCTATTTGGTAATGAAGACAGTGATAACTCTTCAGATAGATGGCTCTGTGGCTAATACCATTTGCTGCAGGAATAGGAGGGCTTGAGTTCAGATCCCCAGCACCCACATGCAAAGCCAGGTGAGGTATATGTGCCTGTAACCCCAGCATTGTGTGGGGTGGAGACAGGAAGATGACTGGGGCAGCCTAGTTCCAGATTCATCAGCAGACCCTGTTTCGAACGAGGAAGGATGACATCCTCCTCTAGTCTTTGTGCATTCTCTCTCTCTCTCTCTCTCTCTCTCTCTCTCTCTCTCTCTCTCCTTCTCTGTCTTTCTTTCTCTCTCTCTCCTAAAAAATGCATGCACTACCATTTATAGAGTGTGTTCTGAGTGGCATGCACTTAATTGTGGCTTTTTATTTGTTTCAATTTTAGGACAGGATCTTGATATTTTAGCCCAGACCGTCCTTAAAATTGAAGTCCCCCTGTTCAGCCTCCACAAGTGCTGGGAATATATTGAATTTTATGCCCTACAAAGAAGTTCCCTTCCCTTTTATCCTGTTTATTTTTCAAAACATCCTCTGAGTTAGGCATCATTATGCCCACTTTCCAGATAAGGATAATAAAGTGCACTAAACTAGACTAAAAGCAACCCAGCCTCGAAGCCCTAGTCTCTTTGATGTGAGAGTATGCTGTTATTCACAACCCGTGTATCTACGTGTCTGTGAGTGCTCTATCTGGGTCTGCACACCAGGACTGGGAACCATGAACAAGAAGACCCCAGGAGAAGCTGTTGTGAGAACCAGCAGCCTAGGTGGAGTCCCTGGGCCTTCTCGGTCACATGCTCACAGGCATCATCAGAGCAGCTTAGCTCTGCTCCTCTCACACTCTGGAACTGACCCCTGCTTACAAAGACAGAATGGAGAGAAATGGCTCCCTACCAATGCCTCGGGCACATCTGGGCAAATGAAGAGCAGAGAAGAGCCTCTGAACAGAGGAGAGAAGTTTTAGCGAGGGGTAGGGCCAGCAGTTCAGGGCAGTCCCACCAAGGCTAGCTGGCGGCTTGCCTCTCTTTACAGACTTCACCATTTGAAAGCAAATCCTTTCCCACCAGAGATCATTACCTAGTGGCTGAAATGGCCCCCTGATGGTCCAGAATAGTTGAGTGTCACACTTCTGAACATGCAGCACAGGCTCCTGGAGGTGATGTCCCCACCATGGGTACCCAGCATCCCTGAGACCTACACGTTGGGGATGATGTCCACAGTAATTTCAGAGCTCTGGATTTTCTGTCAGGGAAGAGTCTGTTCCTAGGTCCCTAGGCTGATATTTTTAAAGCTCAATAAAAAAGGTTGGGGCAGGGAGAAAGGAAACCAAGCAGGACCCTATTGATTGATTGCTGAGCATCCCTCCTGTGTTTCTCTTGGCCGCGTTACTGTTAGCCTAGGATTACATTGTTGTTGCATTTGGATTGGTTTTAGTCTCTTATGATGTAATTCAAAGAAACCATCCTGCCAGTCATCTTCTCTACCCTCCCTGCCCAGACAGACTTGACCCCATCTACTCACCCATCCGCATCTTCCGTTCAATCCGTCTTCCCACGTCTCTTCCATCTGCTTGACTACTTAACTCCTTAAAGAAAGATGCTACTTGCGCTTCAGGATGCTCAAGATGTGTGTTGCATCAGTGAACGAGGTCCGTTTATAACCACGTGATGGGGCAGAAGTTGCAATTGCTCACACCTGTAACATTGCTTACAAAAGCGAATGGTGGAGACACATTACCATTTGCCTCCGATTTATTTTGTTGCAGTCAAACCAAATTTGTTCACCACCTGTGTAATCCTGAACTTGATTAACTGAGTCTGATGGTCATCCCAAGACATAAAGGGAAAATTTCTCCTTGTTGAGACTTTTTTAAAGGCATTTCTTTGCAAGCGAACATGAGATAGAAATTGAGAGCTCTATCCAAGCCCTCCTGTTCATTTGCCCAGAAGGGATTAATTTTAAATCCCATGGTTGAGGTCCCAGGTCAAGAAAAGCTCATAGAAGATGTTACCTGAATTTAGTTACTTTTTCCCAATTTAGAAACGATGGCAGGCCACTGATCCGATGGCCTGAGAATGTGTCAGTCGTGAGGGCTTGCAAGTCACATTATCCAGGGAAGGTTATCTTAGGACACCTCAGGACTCCTCTGATGCTTATCCAGCAGATCTTTGACCTGACCTTTATCAGTACATGATCATGGATCCAAGGATGTAAATAGGAATCTTGATTCCAATAATTCAACTGGATCCACAGCATGGTGAGGGAATTCTGTCTCCGTGGTATGGTTCCTGTTGGGCCTAACACTTGGTTTTCATATCTAATGAATCTTTTAAAGTTGAATTTTTTTGACCCTTCCTGTAAACTTCTCTCTTTCTCCCCTCTACTGTCCCACCATCTCTTTGATTTATTTTATTTATCACTTTCCAATATCTGAGTGATCCCATTTGTCAGGGCTCATTCTCTGTGTGTTATGCCATTAGTACCCGGAAGTTGCCTTTTGCCAGATAGGGCTTCAGCTCAGAGCCACAGACTTCAGAGTCAATCCAGTCTTTTAATTTAATATCTCTCATGACCTTGAACACATTATTTTGTCTCACTTGGTATTAATTTTCTCATCAATTCCTCTGGGCTACTAAATATCTATTCCACCTTTCGGACTAGCTTCCTGGGTACCTGAAAAGAACAACAGAACAGAAATAAATGAAGCTGTGCCCTAGGAATGGACTAAATCAATTCTGTTTTTTTGTACTCAGGTACAACAGTGATTCAAGAGATTCTTCAAATGAATTATATTTTTCAATTTCTCCTCTGAGAATGGAGAGACAACTTGGCTTGTTTTCCTTTCTGATTTTGAAGTGTCTAGAACTTCCATCCTGGATAGAAACTCATTCTTTGAATTATGTTTTCTTGTGCATGTGTGTACACTTGTGTGCATGTGTGTACACACTTGTGTGCATGTGTCGGGGCTGGGGACAACTGGAAGTCTGTTTTTTCAATTTAGCTTATGTCTCCTGAGGATCAAACTCAGGTCCTCAATTTTAGTGGCAAGTGACCTTAACCACTGAGCCATCTTGCCTGTCCACTAGAAAATACATTCTTAACTCTTATCCATGCCAAGGAATAAATGTCTTTCACCCACATGTATGTAGAATATGTGGGTCACATTTTCTCTCCCTGTCCCTCTCCCTCCCTCCTTCCTTTCCTCCCCCTTCCTACTTACCTCCCTTCTCTCCCTGAAGGGCCAGAGGGCAGGGCAATAGTTAGTGTCTTACAGGACGCAAGCATGGGGCAAGCCTGAAGTTGCTTGGTGTGTTCATCAGGAGGGCCACAGGCATAGAGGGTATCATCGGACATAATCATGAGTCCCCCAGTAGCTGGATCGCAAGCCAGACTGTGACCCAATAGCTCCAGCGACAGGGGGACCTCAGGGAAGTGAGCAGCTTGCTTCTCCTTCCTGGAAAAGCAACATCAGGAAGAAAACGTCAGGGGGCTTTGTTGTCTGAAGTACCACATGCATTAACCTGGGTTAGGAAGCAATGTCCTAACCTTCCTCTTGTCCGGTATTCACCCCCATGATGGAGTAAATTAACAACAAAAGAGAGATTATTTTGTTTTTTTTTTACTCTACTATGTTTTTCTATTATTTTTTATTATTAAATTTAATTTTTTAAAATAATCTTTTCTCATTTTACATACCTATCCAAGTTTCTACTCCCTCCTCTCCTCCTGCTCTCCCATCTCCCTGCTCCCCAGACACTCCTCAGGAGGGTAAGTCTTCCCCAAGGGGCATCAACAAAGTCTTGACACATCATTTTGAGGCAGGACCAAGGCCCCTCCCCCATACCTACCGTATCTAGACTGAGCAAGATATCACTCCAAAGAGAACACACTCCAAAAGTTCAAGCACTAGGGATAAACCCTGGTCCCACTGCCAGTGACCCTACAGACTGCTCAAGCCTCACAACAGCCACTGACATTCATTGGGCCTAGTTTGGTCCTATGCAGGTTCCCCTGCTATCAGTTTGAAGTCAGTGAGCTCTTGCTAGCTCAGGTCACCTATTTCTGTGGGTGTCTCCATTATGGTCTTGATCCCTTTGCTCATATTATTGCTCCTCCCTCTCTTGGACTGCTCTCCGGAAGCTTGGCCCAGTGCTTAGCTGTGGATCTCTGCATCTGCTTCCATCCGTTGCTGGATGAAATTCTATGATGACAATTAAGGCAGTCATCAGTCTGATTCCAGGGGAAGGCCAGTTCACGAACCCTCTCCACTATGGCTTAGGGTCATTCTTGTGGATTCCTGAGAATGTCCCTAGTGCCAGGTTTCTCACTAGCTGCATAATGGCTCTCTCAATCAAGATATCTCTTTCCTCATTCTCTCAGTCTTTCCCCCATCTCAACCATCCTGTTCCCTCAAGTTCTCCTCCCCCTCCCCTTCTTCTCTCCACCTTCCCTTCTGCTCTTCCTTTTCCATAGGCGAGCACGCGTGCGCGCACACACACACACTCGCAATTTTCTCAGGAGATCTTGTCTAATTCCCCTTCAAGGGGGATCCCCCCAAAAAAAGCCTTCCTCCTGCCTTCCTACTCAATAATCCCTATTTGGGGGTAAAAGAAGAGTAAACATAGTAGCCTTCTTCTAAAAATGTTTTTTTTTTATAAATTCCCTCAAAGAAAAAACAAACAATAACACATTAGGATAATACAACTAGAGGCTTGCAAATGAGCTTGCTAAATGTCTTATTTCCTTAAGTCACTTAGATTTTTAACTTTGTGTTACTGCCTGAAGCAATAAAGGCAGGAACAGTATCATTGGCTTCACTCCTCTCCTTTTCTTTCCATGTCCCTAGATACATGTTATGGAGCAGGGGCCTCTAGTTTTGGAAAGGAGTCGGCAGGTGGGGGTAGGGATCTCTTCCTGCTTGCCAGGGCACGGAGGAGACAAAGCTGGGGGGCAGCGCGAGCTTGGATTGGCCTTCCCAGAAGCTGCAGAGTTGCCTGTGGGGCCAGGATTTCAGCTCAGTCCCCAGTGGCTCCCTCTCACCTCACACTGCACAATCCAATGACCCTGACTGATCATAAACCGAAGGAGTGTCCTTGGCATTGTTCAGTGCGGTGACTGCATATCCTCAGCTCCTAAAGAAGCACCCCAAAGACAGTGTGCCACCTCCACGCTATTTATAGTCATTTGTACCTCTTGCCTCTGGGACCTAAATTGGAAACCTAATTTTAGATCCATAACAGCTAAAAGCTGAATTTAAAAAAAAAAAAAAAAAAAAAAGCTTCCAAGGTGGTGCATAAGCATCCTCCGAACAAGTTCAGGTTCATTTACCTCACTGTGGATATTTAATTATGTCATTGAGAAAACACCGATAATTAAATCATTATTTTCGAGGTTGTTGGTCCAAGGACATTTTGTGAGGAGTCATAGGCAGAAGTGGTGGTGGGGGAGGGGTTAGTGCAAAGCAGAGTTGAGCTCTGCCTCCCCCTCCCCCACCTCGCAGAGGTCAGGGCCACCCATGTAGCCCAATTCCTTACAAATGCAGAGAACAAGGTCTGCTTACCTGGCCTGCAATGAAACAAGAGGCATGAAAGCTTGTTCCTTCTTCCTGTCCCACTGGAGAGCTGCCCGCCTCCCTTTAGAAGTTTCTAGAGTGTCGCTCACACCTAAGAGAGCTTAGGATGCATTGTCTTTGCTGGTTGGCCAGATGGAAAAAAGGGAATTCTCTCAGGAGTGAAGCAGAAGTTAGACTCCGATGGCATTCGTCTCCCGGAAGACCCCAGGCTCTGACACTTCTGTTTTCTGCTATGTTAATGTCCGTGACAAACCTTGCCTGAGCTATTCGTTCTTGCCATCTCTTCCAGGGCGCATTGTAGCCTGTTCATGACAGCATTCTGAATCTCAGGGGTTCCCACTCTAGAAGAGAGTCCAACACCTTATGTCAGAGGAGTCACTTTGGAGACCCCCATGTGTGATGACTTCTTGCCCTGTGACCTTCTCGCCTGGTATTTCTTGTATTATATAGCATGGAAAAAGAACTTTGCAAACGTAGCCAAGTGAACTGCTCCGCTGAACTTAAGACAGTGGGCCAAACAGTAGGTTTTCAGGGGAAGTCAGATCAGGGAGCCAGAGCTACCAAAAGATTCTGCCCAAGAAGGTTGCTACACCTTTGCTGACTTTGAGGGGTACCGGGGCCAAGGAATGCAGGCAGGAACGAGAAGCTGAGTCCTTGCTCTGGTGGACAGCCAGAGGGAGACAAGCGCCTTCATCCTGCAGCTGTGGAGAAGATGGAGCCCTCATCACTGCAACCACGAAGAATTAGGTCCTCCAGATAATCTGGAAGAGCTGGAAAATGGATTCTCTCCTCTTTGCAAGAAGCCCTTTGCCCAGATGAAAGGTATCTTGGCCTTTGTCCCTCAGCAGAAAACCCACCTGAGAGCCAGACAAGATGGCGAAGCCCAGTCATCTCAGCTACTGAAGTGGGTGAGGCAGGGGGATTTCAAATTCAAGCCTGGTCTTGGAACTCAGTGAGATGATGTCTTAAACGAAAAAGAGAATAGGATTTTTTTTTTTAAAGTACTGAGGATATAGCTCGGTGGCAGAGCACTTGGCTGGCAGGCAAAGGGCCCTGAGTTCAGTGGTCTCAGATACCACAATAAACAAAGCGACAACAGAACAAAACCTGCCATAGCCTCCCCACTGCGTCCAAACTCTGTCCCCACTGAGATGGTGCAATCATGTCGGGATAGTTGTTCAAAGCAAAAGGTCGACGTTATAGTAACAGCTAAGCATACTGATACACAAGCTGGGATAGGGCCGTCTGTGCAGTGAGCCCAGCCAGCCCTCTGCCTGCCTTGCCTGTCTTCCCTCATCCTCCGTCCCCCACCCCTCCAGCCTCCACCCCTTCCCAAGAGGAACAGCCCTGCTCACTCACTGGAATTGCTTATTTGATTATGAGCATGTTCACAGTCATACTCAGCCTAATTATTGCTTTTGACTAAGCCCAGGACACGGCGCCGCATGTCATGAAGAACTACGTTTAATTTCACAGCTGAACACATTCTCTCCTCTGACTAGCCCATTCCAAGCCTCACTTTAGTTCCGGCCGTACTGACACAGAGGTGCGTGTAGGTGGGGGTCTCTTAGCAATGTTCTGCACCCCCCTCCCTGTGCCCCAGATCACGGTGAGGCAAGAAGACAAGATGAAGGCTTTCCTGGGGTGCGGTGGGGTGGGGTAAGGTGAGCATGAGACATCTCAACTCTCGGTTGGGACACGTACCACCCATCATCACTCTCAGTCTCCTCTGTGCTGTGACTCGGGGAGCCAGCCCCCATTCCTTTCTGAAGCTGTGGCCTCCGGTGCTGCTCTTTTTCAGATTCACATCTCAGCGCGCCATTCTCGCTTTCCCAGCCCCCACTTAAACCACACCGATGCTTCTGTGCCGCTCTTAAAACAAACAGATTCCGGGAGCATGACCTTTAACCTCTCCACCTGCCTCCCCAGTCTCTGTTCTAGTGCCCTCTCACGTTCACCCCCTGCCCTCCCTCCCACGCTGGCTTGCTTTCAGTCAGTTGAACTTCTCTTTTCGCCTCCTGCCACCGGGACAAGGAACCTGCTGTTGCCCCGCTCCCTTCCCCTCTAGTCACTCTCTGTGTCCTCCTGCAAGTTCACACAGTGGAAAGCGTTTCCTCTTGGCAGCCGTGCAAAAGCTTCGTTTATGCATATATTTTTATGTTTATTTATCAGTGGATAAATAAACGGAATTGGCTAGCTCCATAGACCACATGTTCATCACTGGATCCTGAGAGTCAACAGAGGGCTTAGGGTCAACAGATCTGTATTAAATGGGTAAATGAGGGGGGTTAAGGCCATGCTTCCAAGGCACCAGTTCAGGCTCCTGGGATAATTCTGCAGAGGGAGGCAGGAAGCAAAGGTGAACTAGAGTTGGGTCATGGGATCCCTGGGTCACACAAGACTTCACGAAATTAATGTGATGCTATTGGCCATCACCCCTTATTCCCCTGATTTGCTTTGTGCTTTTGGATTTCCTTAGTCCCCCATAGGAGCTGTCAGTAGTGGGTGGGAATCTGACCTGTGGACAGAGTTAACCAGTGCTAGAACCTCCTTCTCTAGGGCCTCCTGAAGGCTCAGCCTGGGTTCCACCTGTGCAGGGGATGTGCCAGGTAAGGGTCACTCTTAGCATTTGACCCGCCTGAAGACAGTCAGGCCTGTGGAGTGGAGGAGATGCATGAAACAAATCGATAATGCGGGCTCAGTGGCAGGGGAGGAGGTGGGGATCTGTTTAACCTACTTTAGAGAACAAACTCTTTCTAAGGGCTTTGCACACTAATTGTGTGCAAATGGGTGCTGCTAATTGCAAACACACATTCGAACCTAGTCAAATTAGAAAGCTATTCATCAATGGTCCCTTTAGGACCTCTGCCTCATTCTCTGCAGCTTCAATTGCTGTTTTATGGCAACACATGAACACATCATCTTTCTCGCCCGACGCTGTGCCATCGGCTTCCTCCAGAGAAGTTGCCCCCGGAGACTCAATGAGGCCAGAGACTGTGTTCCATTCTCTGTTGCCTTAATGCCCAGCTCAGCCCAGCGGGTACCACACTTCAAAGCAAACACTTAGGGAGGGACTCCCTGCTCTGTGGCTAGCATCTCCGTGGGCAGAGACTGCACGCATGGATGCACGCACACTTTCTGGGGAAGCCTGCTATCATTGTTTCTCATCTGAGCCAGCCCTCTCCTCCCACCCCAGCTCTGATTTCACCTGCCCTGAAGGACCCAGCTGCACGTGATCAATCCACCTTGCGCTCTTATGTAGGCTTTCTTGCTTATTATCTGACACTTTTCTCTCACTGCCTTATATAATATTTGTTCTTACGCATTAATTCAGCAGTCACTGATTGCTTCTGAATGCGTGTCCCTATAGAAATGCTGTGGGGGACAAAAAGATGGACAACATATTGTTCTTGCTTTCATATATTATTTATCCTATTAAGCAGTGACATAAGGCAAGGACCATGTCTTCCTCATTTTTTTAGTCTTCTTTTCTTTTCTAAAATAAATCTCACCAAGGCCTTCCAGAGTAGGTAGGACTGCATAATTTTGTGATGTATGCATGGTTGGAAGGATAGTTAAATGAATGGATGGATACATGGATGGATATGTTGGTGGGTGGGCAGATAGTTGAATGGCTGGCTGGCTGGGTGAATTGATGTTGAATGGACAGATGGGTAGATGGATGGTTAGATGAATGAACACATGAAAGGATGGATAGCTTAACAGATGGGTAATTATATAGTTGAATGCATAGTTGGTCAGACGAATGGACATATGTATGTATGGGTAGGTGAGTAGGTGGATGGATGGATGGATGGATGGATGGATGGATGGATGGATGGATGGATGAATATATGGATGTCTTGGTGGATGAATAGTTGAATTGTTGGAGAGTTGAATGGATGGTCAGATGAAGGGATACATCATGGATAGATTGATGGATAATGGACTAGTTGAATGGATAAGTAGCAAGATAAATGGATTTAAGGTTTGATGGGTGGCTGCCCTTCTGGATAAATGATGTATAGGTAGATAAATGGTGAAATTTCATATTTTACTATTTGCAGTGACATTCTAGTGGCTTGCCAAAAATAGTATAGTCACCTAAATGTCCAGTTCCCACATGTGCTTATGAGGCCCCAGCAAGCTGCCAAAGCCATGACTGCAACTGAGAATAAGAAGAGACAAGATACAGACCAGGCCTCACTAGAAGCAAAGACACGACTCTGCAGGAGAGACTCGGGTTGTGCAGGGATCATAAGGAAACACACACAAACAAAGAGTTGCAGAAAGTCTGAATATTTGATCACTTTGCTTTTTCATAGACAAAATCTCTATTGAGAGGTGAGAGTCAAAGGTTGTATTGGGTTTTCCTGAGTAAAGGAAGACATGAAACTTGGGGTCAAACCACAGGAGAGACTTCATGTGTCAAAGGCAGATACTGATAGAGCCCTGGAGCTTAAATAATGTTCAGTGTGGCTCCCCAGATTAGCCACCCGTGTCCCTCAGGATTTGAGATAAATACTCCTCATAATTGGACATCCAGGGTGAGAAGGATCCTGGGAGAAGTTGGGCCAGGTGTGCTGTGACACCCAGGTGGCAGGAAGCAAAGGAGTGGTACAGGGTTAGAGTCCCCAAAGAGATTCTGTTTTTACTGCAGGTGTAAATGTGAACCATAGCCAAGACTGTGAAAAGTTTATCTTAAATGAGGACAGCAGGCTGCCTGTCACACTGGACATTTTTGCCTCCAATTTTTATAATTTCCTTCTTATTAATTTTTTTTAAGTGTCAGAATTGGTGACTAGAGAGATGGCTCAGTGTTTAAGAGCACCCATGTTGGGTGGCTCACAATTGCTTGTCACTACAGCTCTGGGGAGCAGGTGTCCTCTTTTGGTTTCTGCAGCTACCTTCATGCACATGGCATGCGTGTGCACGTGCACACACACACACATACACACACGTTAAAACAATTAAACCAGAGCAAGGTTATTTTTCAGGAGTGGTTTTAGGTTCAGTGTAAAACCATTTGGAAAGTCTCAAATATTCCCAAATAGGACTTTCTCGCCTTCCCATCTGCTGCTTTTTGGACACCTCATTCAGAGTGGTGCCTTAGTGTCCACTTAGGACCCTGTACTGCTACATCCTTACCATCCAAAGGCTGTTGCTTATGTCTAGGTGACCCTCAGTGCTATACACCCTATGGGCTTCATATATATGCAGTGGCATGTTATCTTCTGTGTTATATGATGTCACCAATCATATTTTATATAATTATCAAACAGTATAGCGTCGTTGTTGTAAATTTGGTTTTCAGACTAGGAGATAGAACACAAAAGCTTAACTTTGTTTTCTTGAGAGAGGGCCTTAAACCTCCTATGTAGCTGAGAATGACCTTGAGTTTCTGATCTTCCTGCCTTCACCTCCCCATGCCTGGTATGTATACATCATACAGGGGTTGAACCCAGTGCCCCCTGTTTGCTAGGGAATTACTCTACCAGAAGAGCTACACTCCCGGCCCACAACTGTTCATTTCTCAGCATATTCCCCCAAAGTTCCTCTCATAGTTTTGCATTTCTGAAGTGTTACCACCAGTAAGAAATTTGGGATCTGTCAGTTACTGTCTCTGCATTGTAAGGCGGAAAAGATGAGGCAAAGAAGAGAGGCTGCCTGCTGGGTTGTGGTAGTTTGGGGTATTAGAAGGAGGAGAACTCAAGTCTATAGGTTCAAGCCACTCAGAATTCTGGGAACTGTGTTGTGTCCTGAAGAGAGCATCATCTAAATAGCTGTGATGCTCCAGGCACTGGCTCATTTGGAGTCAGGGTGACTTTGCTTGTGGCCGGAGGGCTCTGTGCAGGCTTGAGGATCCCAGGTCCACACGTCTATTCTCCAAATGCTTATTTAATAGACTTGCCTGGTGGTGGCACTTTATATCATGCGTTGTCTCTATATGATTTACTGTGGGGAAGATCATAAATACTGCGTGCTTATGCTCAGAGAGTCAAACCCAGCATGGACGTTGCACTGTGAGGTTGCACACCCCCAGATGCAATGTTTACTGAGACAAGGGGTAGGGCATGTGACTTTCCTCCAAACTACACCACTCCAAACTGTCCCCTCCATGAGGAAGTAATTATGTGGGGCTCACAATATACACAACTCCTAGCGATGTCCTTTGCGATCACAGGAAAACTTGATTATCATGAGCTGCTCTCTCTCTCTCTCTCTCTCTCTCTCTCTCTCTCTCTCTCTCTCTC